TCAAGCTGATGTTTTCTACGAGCGTCACTAGCCCCATTTTCCGGCCAATGGTTTACATCGTGTTATCGAAAAAGGTACTATTGAGTAATTTCATAACCATACAAAATATTTCGTAAGGTATATCCACACTCCGTGCACAGCTCTTATCGAGCATACATGTTTACTAAACGTCCTCGATTCTTTTTATGTTTCACTTATACAACTTTGTCGATTTTTAATAAAATGTATACCGTTGAAAAGGGAAAAAAAATGACGAACCACTAGTGTTTCAGGTCTCACTCACTATGGGGGTTTTTGCATCCCCAAGGTAAGAAAAATCGCATTTTTAATTACCGTTGCACAAAATGTCTAACCAAAATAATACGCTGCCACGCTCGTTATCTAACCAAAATAACAAGTCACTGCGCTTGCCGCCACAAAAGAAGCCATACAACAATAAACCGATAACTCTAATTAAAATTGTAAATGGCAATCAAATAATTAAACAAAACGAAATAATTAACACCGACCCGGACGATTTATTATCTGTTGATTGGACATTGATAACGTCTCCTCACTCCCAAAAACGTCACTCTATCATCTATTACGTCTCTCAAAACCAAACAAAGCAATACATCAAGCCAGTTCACATCAAAAAATCGTATCGCCTCACTTTCTGAAAACTTATCTACTCAGGAAATGGATACTGATCAAACATCCGATTTACCAAATACCAAACCACAATTACCACCTCCAATATTTATAAAATCTGAATTAAACTACAACAATTTCTGTGACGCTATCAAACTATTAATCAGTCCCGAAGAATTATTTTGCAAAAGTATTATCAATAACCGAAAACTTCAAACAAAATCAGCCAATTTACTCCAAAAAATAACTAAACTGATCAAAGAAAAAAAAGTTAATTTTCACACTTCTCAAATTAAACGAGATAAACCATACAGAGTCGTTTTTCGGAATTTGCATCATACCACGCCTATCGATTTTATTATCCAAGAATTAAGTGAAAACGGATTTACTGCAAGACAAGCTGTAAATGTAAAAAATAAAATAACAAAAATACCATTACCTCTATTTTTCATAGACCTTGAACCTAACCAAAAAAACAAAGAAATATTTAAACTAACTTCAATATGCTACACTAAAATTAAAGTTGAAGAGCCACACCCTCGACGCCAAATAATACGATGTCTTAGATGCCAAGATTTTGGTCACTCGAGAACATACTGTAATCACGCACCCCGATGCGTGAAATATGGAGAAAACCATAGTACCTCTGCCTGTTTAAAATCCACCGACCAACCACCAAAATGCACACTACGTGAAGGACAACACCCAGCAAGTTATCAAGGTTGCATTGTGTATACAAATCTACAATAAAGACACCAAAATAATAAAAAAAAAATTAACCAGTATTTCCAATCTGATATTAAATTATTAAATAACAATAATACCATACCTGTTAAAGAGGTCTATTGCACCACCCTAAATGATAATATCAATACAAATAATCAGCCTCACACTCAATCATATGCGTACGCCTCTCATCCATTTAATAATACAAAAATCCACGAACAAACCCCAAATTATTTTTCTAAACAGCTCACCTCATTCCTCGATGTTTTTAAAGAATTATTAATCAATTTATTTCACTCCTCACAACGGTTATCAACAAACTCTTAATAAAATATAATGAGTTGCTCCACCCAATCCCATCTCTCACTAAACATTTTACTCTGGAACGCAAACGGTGCCATTCAAAACTTATTACTTATAACTTCATAACTTATTATACCAAAAAAAATTGACATAGCTATGATAACTGAAACTCATTTTACACCAAATACTAATTTTAAATTACATAAATTTACCACTCACGTAACAAATCACCCTGATAAAACAGCCCATGCCGGCACCGCAACTGTCGTCTATTCAAGAATACGTCATTGTTTATTATCACCGTTTCAGGAACACGCAATTCAAGCAACAAACATTATTTCACAATATTTAACTGCTGTGGACGGTGGGTTTAATCCCTACGCTACCGCACCGGGGAATGTAAATAATAAAAAGATAATACAAAAGAAAAAAACAATGCCCCACGTACGTGCGCCGCACAACTACAGTTAAAGAAGAAAAATTCACGCTTCAATGTTCACAGCACAATGACAAATACAAAACCATGAATTACAAAACTGCCGGTACAAATTGAACACCTAGAACTAGGGAACACAAATTAGAACAAACAATAGTAACTGTTGTAACGAACGATATTTACCGAACAGTTATTCACAACAAGAAAACGTGGTTTTCACACATTTTAAAAAAACAGGAAGGACGAACGTCCAGACGATAATATTGGATGTGCACATCATGAAGTCACAAAGACGAGAGAGCGACGGTGCCGTCAACATTCACCACGAAGGCTATGCCGCCGGACATCACAAAATGAAGATAACTGTCTCAGTGCCACCACACAAAACTGAAATACACGCGAAATTAATGAACTTTGTGGCACTGAGAGCATGACTTTTAACTTTTATAAAACATAACCGACAATTTTTCGAAAACGTGGAATAACGAATACATTTACACGCGATGATAACAGTGCGATTACGTACCCGACCGGTCGCACACGGGGCTTATTTCTAGACATAGAACAAGCGTTTGACCGAGTTTGGCACGAGGGCTTAACCTATAAACTCAAAAAAATATTTCCGGCATTGTACTTTCTATTACTCAAATCATACTTAAAAGACAGAACTTTTCAAGTACGCCAAGGTAATGAAAACTCTATATCATTTGATATATATGCAGGAGTTCTACAAGGTAGTCTTCTATTCCCGGATTTATACAATATATTCACTTTCGATATACCCACCGACCCAAATACGATACTAGCAACCTATGCCGATGATACTGCTATTCTGTCCATTAACAAAAATCCCATCTCTACTTCTGACAACTTACAGAAACATACTTCTAAAATTGAAACTTGGTCAAAAAAATGGAAAACAAAAATAAATTAAAACAAATTTGCTCATATTACATTTACCTTAAAAAATATATCACTGCCCTTATATTACTGTCAACAATGAAGTCATACCATCATCTGATCAAATAAAATACTTAGATTAAACATTAGATAAGCGCCTCACATGGGGGGGGGGTATTTACGGGGTATTTAAAACAAAAAAGACAAGCAACAAACATAAGGCTTCACAAACTTCGTCCACTGCTAAAATCCAAACTAAGTCTAAAAACAAAATTATTAATTTTCAAAATAATAATAAGATCCATCTGGTATTATGGAATCCAAATTTGGGGACCGGCTAAATCTTCCAAAATTTGTCCAATACAAGCTCATCAGAACATCACTCTTCGACTTATCACAGGCGCATCATGGTACATAAGTAATGCTTTATTTTACAAAGACCTCAACATCACAACCGTTAAAGAACTAGCTACCACTCACTACAAAAGATTCCATTCCAAACTCAACTCCCACAAAAATCATCTTATAAAAAAATATGTGCTCTCACACTCTACCTGGAAACCCAAAACGACGTTTAAAAAGGAACGGTTTCCGTGACCTATTATAATAAATTGCCAAATTACAAATTATGAGGGTGTTGCCGATGGGCCTCTTCCCCAATCATGCTCTATTCATGCCATTGTTATTCATAATATTTATTATATTGACTATTTTTTTTTTTTTTATTTACAGATTGTAAATTTCTTTTAAAAAAAATAAAATAAAAAAAATAAAAGATATATTCACATAATTGCTACAGTTCTTATCATAATCATCGTTTAAATTTTTTCATTGGTATTATGCTGTAATTAAATTACAGTGAACCTCTACATAATGAATTTTTTTTATCAAATAATGAAATAACAGTTCTATTTAATGAATTAATTGCATTCTATTATACTGTATATTCCTTCTATATACTTATAATTATTTTGGAGCATTCGAATAATGTACGGTGAAAAAATTACATTTTCAAAAACAAAAAGTTTTTTCCATATTATTCATCGTGGATTTCAGCTTAATGATAATGTACCTAATTATATTTTTAATTCTTTAAATAACTGTAAACATTTATAAATAGTTAATTGAAAAAAAAGATAAACAACATGTATCACTTGTTCAAATATGCATACATTTCATTTTGTATAAAAACAGTGTTGCAAGTCAAAACAATTTAATTCCTTTATAACGAAAATTCAACCTAACAATATTTTTTCTCGAAGAACCATTAAGTTTGTTAAATATAATCAAAACAATAAATTATTATCTTTCTTAAAACAAATACGTTTTTCTTTTAATTATGACGTATTTTGAAGCATAATAATAAATTTCCGTGCAGATAACATTCGAAAAACGGACCTGTTGTTGATTGACATCATCAACAGTAATTGAAAGTATACACGAGTGGACAAGCTATTTGTCAAGGCAGCCGGCGAATACGACGGAACACACGTATTATACACACACTTGTCAAAGGACTAATTATTGTACAAATATTACAATTGACGTCAACCGAGTATGAGCTGTAACAATAATAATAATAATAATGTGATCGTCGCACTCGCCGAATACAAGATCCCGAGAATTTGCTGCACACAACAGAAAAATATAGTTCTATTGGTTATCCCACGACCTAGTTATATTCTATCTATTAATTACATTCCATACCATAACAATAAAAATAATAAAAATAATATATTATGAATTCCTATTTGTATAGCATTATTTATCGTAAAAATCGTACACGTTTTATACCGACGCACAGTGGGATATTGTCATAAAAACCTGGCCAAAATTAGAAATTTCAAAATGCATTTAGCATGATAATTGTTGATAGTTTATCTAATAAAGATAATATTAAAGCAATTACGTAATATTTTATGTTGTTATCAGTATTAATTGTATTGCAATAATACCCCAGAGTATGACATTACAGATGCGACGCGCACGTCGGTATTATTCTATACAAAAAGTTTAGTTAGAACATAGCTGATATTTTATGTAGTATAGTTATTTTTACGAAAAAAAAAATGAACTCGTTACCTGGAGGTATGTATATAGTATTTAAGTTTAATAAAATATAAAATCAATTTATCTTTATATTTTTATATACAATTTTAATAAAAAATACAAGAATTAAAATAAAATATACAAACACAAAATTCATTATTAATTTTAGTAAACTTCCAAGATAGTCCGAGTCCATACAAACTTTTATTTTTTTAGTGTATGTTATGCAGTTTCAAAAAAATTAAAAAACAATTGCGCATACTTGCGCTTTATTGTGTAAATTACTTTTGATTCACATACATGTGATTACATGTGATTACATGTGATTAAACGTATTAAAATTGTTTTTATTCAAACTACACTTGGTATTTTTATACTAATGTTATAATATTATAATATTTTAGGATCTGGTGATAATCATATTTCTTTAAGTCGGAGAACATTATTTCATATAATGCAAGAAATTAATGCTAAACAATTTACTGAACGATTTGACCATTTAAAGAAACATTTAGTTACATTAACAGAATGTCCGACAATTCCTTAAATAAATTATTATCATACTTCATTAGTGAGTTTAAATCTAAATGGCAATCATCACAGAGAAAAAATAACATATTTCTATTAAAAAATAAAATCTCGTTAGACTCTGAAATACATTTTCCTTCAAAGATTTCAACTCAGTCGGGCAAATCTAGAGGTCGGCCTTCTACATCATTTCATGATAGTAGTGATCGATCAAAAAGAAGAAAAACGGAATAATTACGTACCCAATATAGTCCAACTATGCTTTCATATGCTGCTCAAATGTCTCTAAGAAAATCTGGAAATGTAGATAGTTCTTACGTTATAAAAAATATTACGTGTACAACACCTATAAGAGCTTCAAAGTACAACAAATCTTATAAAGACAGTAAAAATAAAATTAAGGTTATTTCTAATGACGAAGCTCTTTCTTTGCTTATTGAGGCTTAGTTGACAAAGCATCAGTACAATTTAATTAGGACACAGGCAAAAAAACATGGTTGTAATATTTATCCTGCAAATTATCTTTTAAGGTACGCAAAAAATGAATGTTATCCTGATAAATCTTGTTTGCAAATAACAGAAAGTTGTGCTGAAGTGAAATTACAAGCATTATTAGATATAACTACTGAAAGAATTTTAAAATCACAGGGTAGTATTATTGATTCAGTGAGTGATAAATATTTTGAAAAATTATATTTAATTTCCATGTTTTTAATAGACTTTTAGTAAGTTCTGATCCATTTATTTCCAGTCTAAGGCAACTACCTCAAAAAAATATTAAACATATTCACCCAGAAGTATTGGAAATGATTTTGCCTCCAGACATCAACATAAAAACAATAGAAACAGAGTCAGATATTAGTAGTGAAAATTAAGTTTCCACGTCGTCGAGTGAATAAATTCAACAGAAACGTGACTTATAATTTAATTTTTATGATATCTGTAAAATAATATTATTCTACTAATATAACATGATATAAATAATTAAATGAAGTTAGATAAATTGATTTTTAATAAGTATTTATTTTTTGGCCAGGTTTTTATGAAAATATCCCACTGTGCGACGACAGAAGATGTGTTCATAGTATAAAAACAGTATGAAAGATATCCTTAAATATATTTGCATACAACAAATTTATGAGTGTGTATGTGTGATTGTTTGTGTGTTTATGTGTGTGTGCATGTGCGTGTGTGTACCTGACACGAAATATCGATTTTCGATATGATGAGAAACGACCATGCACGTTACGTATAATACACAAATTGACAATTGTTCCAAAATTATGATCAAGTGTAGTCTAAAGTGCATTATCTTAAGAAATTTATATTAAGAAACATTATTATATTTTTAATTTAACCTCATTTCTTTGATTTTTTTCAAATCTTGTCACCTGAAAATTTTCATACGATAACTTATCGAATGTTGATTTTCTATAAACAATTTAAAAAATAAAAATAAAAATGTTAATATTATTATTGTTAATACATAAATAGCAGTATATATCGCAGCAGTTTGCGCATTGTTTATTTCAGTCTACGCTATTGATTGTTTCCAACTAACAATGTGGTAGAAAAAAAATCTCAGAATACTGATATAGATTCGCCAAGTTCATGAGGCTCTTCAAAACGTCATCTGTCAAATTCGTCTTATAAAGGCAGGATGATAAAAAAATCGAAATTTTTTTTCACCAAAACAAGTTCGCTAGTCTCGCCAATAACAATAACTGTGAAAATGAACTTGTCGCTGCAATACTGAATTTTGCTACGCACGTACCTTAAATATGCCTACCCAACGATTTACTAATTGTAAATATTTCAAACTTCGATTTTTGGATAAGAAGAGACCGCAGAGATATAATTATAATGTGTCTATTTATAGAATACAACCCTTTAATAATTCATAAACCATTAGTCCATTGCTAAAAATATAAATCAAATCTTACAGAAAAATATGAATTTTGACAATTTAAGATTAATGTCATAAGTTTTTATTTTACAACCGTAAGTTAAAAATGCTTTAACAAATAGCAATAAAGATGGATAAAAATACAATACATGAAGGATGTATTCGTTATAAATATATTCAAAGGAAATGAATATTTTCCGGTCATTTATTAAAGTCACTCAATTCTATAAATACTCAACAATACTGCCTATATATTTACATAAAGATGACGTGCATAGCAATTACTGTAATGATTGAAAGTTTGCAATATCTAAGTTATTTTTACTCGCGTTTATCGACTTTGAATAAGATTTTTATGAAATATTTTATAATGTAATACTTATATAAAAAAAAAGCATTTCAGAAAAATTGATGAAAGAAATGCTGATGGCGTGAGAACGAAATAATGCGTCGACAATTCCTAAATAATTTGGCGGTATAATTTAACCAATAACTTTTAGGTCATATTTTTTGATACAAAATATTGAATGATTCACCCATTGCTCTAAGAAATGTGAAATGCATGAAAACCGACCTACTCAAAGAGATATTAAATATTGGTAACATATTTAAATTCTAAATTTCTATTTTGAAATATTAATAGAATATAGGTAAATATGATTATATATATATATATATATTTAGCAAGGTGTCTTCTAGATGGATTACCTAAAGTAGTAGATAAACTTATCCTTCATTTTTTATAATCAAAAGTTCCAATGAAAAATTGAGTAAATACGTCTCAATAAAATTAATAATCTATACTATATAAAATTATTTTAATTCCAAAAAGTGTTGATATTTCAAAGTCTGACATAATAAGAATATATAATTATGGTATTATTTTGGGGATAAAGAAGACGGCAATAAGCAATTTATTGAAAGGTTAGTAAAAGTAAAAATGGATTAATTATCGCTTTAAAATGTTCAAGAAATTTGTTGATATTGTGTTTTTAGGCATAATTGTAGGTGATGTATTGACTCAGTGATAATGGCATATGATATATTATGTTTATTAGCATTAGAAGTCATAATTATTGAAGACGGTATGATGATATTGGGAGTGGGGTATTTATAGACTGCCATAAGTTTTTTTTCAATTTTGTAATTGTAATTTTAGTTAATATAACATTTCTGCCGCAATACCACAACAATTTCATAATATTTATAACGTAACAATTGAAAAATATATATTGTGTACAATCAACACGCATTAAATTAATTTTCATTACCTATTTTTTTTTCACAACCATATGAAAATTTATAATTAATTATATTTTTCACTTAACTTTCATATTAAAATATTTTAACTGCCCATTAAATATCTACCACGTGCATTCATAATACTCATATAATATATATATTTCGGTTAAAAATTCAGTAAAACTTTGTATTAAACGAACATTTAAATTTAAAATTTAATAAAATGGATTTATAATATATTACTTTTTGTACGAAAACGTTTGTTTAATAAACTTATAAAACATGTACCAATGTACCAATGCAGGAACTTAATTTGATAAGAATCTATGTAAAACATAACTACATCAACGTGAATATGAAGCTAACAAGTTGATATCAATTGTAAGTAGGTATAACTCGCAGTATAGAAAATGTCAATAAAATACCTATTAGCTGTCAAAAATTTTAATTAATATATTGGTTTGTCTGAAGCATAAATTATACAATAATAAAAGGTTTATTGTTTATTTATAGAATTTTTATTTTTTTCTCTACAGTTCACTTTATATTAATGATGAAATAATAATACACAGTATCATACATACTTTACTAACACTATTAGTTTCTGTGAAAAACAAGAGATGTATAAGTTTTACAATGGTGGTTTTTTATCCATTAACATTTTTCAGAGAAATAATTCACATCAAAAGTTACAGCTGCTAGCAACTTAGGAAAAATATTAGACACAGGTGTTTTTTTATCTTTATCGATTTTCGATTTCTTGGGTAGTTTTTTGGAACAATCCAAATCCGGAAAACAAACAATGTTAACTCATGAATATAATATTATCTTAGGAAAAAAAATCACTTAGTATTTTTACTCTATCCTGGTGGATTTAACACATAGAACAGAACTACATTTTTAGACTCGATAAATTTTAGTTTCAAATTATATTTTATTAGAAATGCAACACTTATGTTTTATCATATATTGACTTTCATTCAAGTTCGTTTTTCTATTGCGAAAAACTAATGATGATTTTGTTTTCATTTTTTTTAAAAAGAAAAAAAATTGATTGTTAAAAATCCGTACGTATAATTTTTTTTGGAATAAATACAAATAAATATAACATAAATGATAAATAATATTCTTTTTTTCTTCTCTTCCATCATAATATATTGGATTATATTTATTTCATTATAGGGATATTATTAATATTTATTCAATTTCTATAGTTTGACATAATAATTTAATATCTGTACACTAGAAAATCGTTACTTGAACGGGTTTTCATGTATTTTAGATAATATTCTAAATGACAATATTAACCGATCGATCAAGTGTGTGATGTTATTATTTCAGTGGAAGTGCGGGCTCTTGAACATGACCCGAGTGAAAATTTAAATATGCCTAATCGAGTATCACAATTCCTTCTCATAACATAAAATGTCAATACTGTAATGTCTCTTCTGTTAAGTACCTACTACTAGGTACTCAAGTCCTGTAAATATCGATACAGTTTAACACGAATGTATTCCATATACTTACGGAAAATATACGGTCGAATAAAAAAATATGGGTAAACACATTTTGAACACCCTAATGAAAACAAAATATTTAAATAACTTTCCGAAAATCTTCGCGTTATAATGAATTACATTGACTTTTATTCATGGATAAATCGTACCTTATTGACTAAAATATGTAAGATTATGTAAAATATCAAACGCAGGAAAAACAATCATGAAAGACATTAATACTTATAAAATATCTATGAAACCTAGCACATTTTATTATATAAATATACATTACTTTCAAATGTAACTACGTAAACTTTTAGATTCTGATCGGAATGATAGAATCTATTGGTTTTACAATGATGTGTTTTTTTTTATTTTTATATTTTTTTTTTTTTTTGTATTTGTCATCACGTTTTGGGGCTTAAAATGCTTCGATTTTCTTATTTTCTTAAACAGCAACTTTTCTGAAAGGAAAGTGAATGTAAATGGTACTTGGGCAAGTCAAAAATCAAACTTTTTCAATACTTTTTAAAAGCATCGGAATAAACCATAAAAAAATTACGAAAAACGGGAATTTTTACGCAATACCACGTTTCAGCAAACTACATTTTGTTAAAAATGCTCTAACTCAAAAACGAAAAATCGCATACACTTGAAATTTTCACCAAATATTTAAATTAGCATTTTCTATACATGGTAACGTTTACGGAGTATTTTGAAATTTTTTGACTTATTTATAGACAATTTAAATTTTAAATTTTTCCAAGTTTTTTTTTTTTAAATATCTATAAAAAAAAATGGCTGTCTAAAAACTCTTGAAAATTTAATAAAAGATTGATTATAAGTTATACTTATTGTAAAGGTACGTTTTCCCTGCAGCGTCCAGACGCAGCGTCCAAACGCAGAAAATCGAGCCGCCTAGACGCAGCGTCAAGACGCAACGTACGCCCGTTTTCGCTGCATGCGTCTAGACGCAGTAATTTTTGTATTTTTGATCAAATTACATTAATCGAAATTCAATCATAGTGCTTACGACCGTGATCTAATACACACGTAGGTTTCATCACCTTCATCATGATGCAACGACAATTAATTTTGAATAATAACCTTATGATTTGCGAGATTCTCAGACAAGAGGCAGCATTTGAAGATGAATTACTTTTAAGGATGATTCCTAAACCGAGAAATGCACCCAACAGCATAATAGTTACTAGGGAAACCGAAGGATTTTTTAAAA